TTTCTAAATTTGATCTACATGTTTCAAATTTTATAGGGAAAAATATGTGAGTCTGATGAGGATAGCCCGTTACCCCCCCCGTTTAGGCTCTAAGCACTTGGTCAATACCTAACCTAACACTCCCTCTCACTCTCCTCTCTCTTTTATCTCTTCCGCCTCCTACGCCGTCACTTCTGGTGCCGCCACCGGCGACCACCACTGCCACCGCCACACCTCCTCCCTCACCGCCCTCTCTCTCTTCTCCTATTCTCTTCACTGGTCGTCTACTTCATCTTCTCCACTCTCGTCGTCGGATCTAAAACCCTAACCCTACCTTCGATCTTCTCCAATCCCTCCACAAGCCATATGTTCAAATCCAGACCCTACACTCCCCTCAACTGTTTCAAAACCTTTGTCTACAAAGGACTATCGTCGAACTCGTCAGAACGGCGATCTCGAACGGGCTGATTGCGATGAGAAAGATCAGGCGGCGAGGCACATTAACGTGTCAGAAACGAAATTAGAAGTTGGACAGTTCATCTTTGGCCTAATTTTTCTCTCCATTTCTGCTCAAATGTAAGTATGATATAGTCGTCCTCAATGTGGGTTTCTTGGGTTACTGGTACTAGTCTTAACTGTAATTTGTCATGTAGTGGTTTAAATGTATTATAATATATATTTAGCAAGAAATGCCTGCTTAAAATTAATTATCCAATGCATTGCATGAGTTCAACACTAGTTTTTAAGACTCTGCAAATTGTTTTGTTGATAAAATCTTTTGGTGTGTTCCATATAGATTTGTGATCAAATTAGGGGAAAACGAACATCTTTACACGTTTGTTTTGCATTTCTTAGTCGACCACCATGTGCAGCCGCACAATAATATTTGAGCATAGTCGAAGATACTATAACCTCTCCATATGCAGCAGCATAGTAATTTTCAGCATAGTACAATGAATTTGAGAAGCATATACTACAGGCCACATTATCTGCGGACCTACCTTCGTAAAAAAAACCTTGTTTATTTTAATTGTTGTTAAAATTATTATAATTTTATTTGGTAAGGTGATTGTTTTGTTGGAAAGAACATGCCTATGAGTTCTGCTCACATGGAACCCAACTTGCCTTTTTCTCCAGTTTTTGAGACCTACGGGATTTCATACTAATTATGTCAGACAAAGAATGCTCCAAGCTTTTGCAATATGAATACGAAAAGAAAAAAAAAAAAGTCATTTGCATGGAACTTAAAAACTTTAGGAAAGTAATAAATAATAATCATAGAAAACACGAACATAGAAAAAAAAAACTTGGGTTTTGGTTAAAGGCAAGAAAGGCTTTTGGAACATGTTATCGAATTTAACTTGAATTGAATTGGATGCACATGGCTGATATTAGATAATGATATGCCTAACATTTCCACCCCAGTAATTACAAGGCCCCCTTTTCGCTCCTCCTCTCTATTCCTTTTGTAATTTTCATTATCTATATAATTTTGAGTTCAAAATGGAATAGTTTTTTAACATCATTTGGTCATAATCGTTCCCATCTGCTAGCCATTCAGATATTAATTTCAATTTCTTCATTCGTGTATGAACAATTTCTTCAAGTACTTGTAGTTGTGAATATGCATGACACATAAACCTCAAACAATTTAAAGTTATGTGATTTACATTCACCCACAAATTCACAGTTTTCTGACTACTGTTACTTTTAATGAAATTCCCCACAATTACTTCTACATCTATGGACCATTAGTAACAACTTTTCCCTAGGGATCGTTTGATGCTACCATCTTATCTATATCCATAAAACTAAATCATCTTAGTTACCCTGGTGTCCTTTGATTTAAGTTTTTTTCTATCTAATTTAACTTGCACAATTTTTGGGAAGATTGCAAATAAGGAGTATTGACATTTTTGCTAGTTTATATTATACAAAAGTGAGGTTTTAACAATAAAGGTTGAGCTCTAAAGCGTTAACTAAATTTCTTAATTTTTTGGGCTAATTGAATTGGGGAATAAATGTTTGTAGACCTGGATAGCCTTCTACCACAGATAGAGAGAAAGAAATGACTAATTTTTCATGAAAAAAAGAGGAAACATGTGGATATTATTATTAAAGTAGTTATGGAAGATGTTAGAGCCAGAATGAGTTCATATAGAATGTAAAGAATGGTATTTGAAAACTGGCAAACTTGTATTCTTTTGAATGCAATATATTTATGACCCATATATACTGAAACATTAATTAGCTACTTATGTGTACTAATGATGCAGCCAAATTCTTGACGAGGAGAATGATTTTTCTACTATCTTGATTTGGGAGCCAAGGGATTGTGAATTCTTGAAAGATTTCCTAATTCATTGGTTGCTGAATTGCTGAATTAAGCTAATTTGAGTGTACGTCCTGTTTGCTCGATGTATCATATCAGGCTTGGTTTTGAAAAACTCCTGAGCTTCTGGGGATGTCTGTAACATTTTATTTTCTTTTTTTTGTCAATTTTAAATTTGCATAATAATAGTAGTAATGTGTATTAAATATAAAAGATAAAATATGTGCACCATTTATCATTTCTTGAAATCATGTGTTTTTTTGTTCAACAACATTGAAGAGGTTATTACAAAATTCGCTCAACTGACACCACAAGAAAGGACAAAAAGGTCAGTACATATATGCTTTAAATCTATGAGGATGAAGAGTTGTTTTTCTTTTATTTTCTTTTCTTTTTTTGGTTAAATTTGAATTGCATTTGTCACAATGTCACTAAATAATTTTTATTTGAATGACCAGGAAGTTGGAGAGCCTTGAAGTAAGATTAATACTGCCCGTTCTCTAGTACACCAATTCATTATTTCTTTCTCTGCTTTCATTAAATATGAAACGATAAACATATCATATTCATTCAAGCCTTTTGGTGTTCTATTTGAGAATATAGGCACTAAAGAAAACCTTTAAGAAGTTGGACCATGATGTAAATATATAAGACTTTTTGGGTTCAAGGTTTGTATTTATTTTGATGAATCTTTTAAATCTTAAAGGATTAACCCTCGTGAAAGAACTAATGTTTTTTTTTTTCTTCCTCCTTTCATGGGACTCAATGAATTGAGGTTAGCCCTTTGTCACTGTTGTCACCGTAATGTTTTGAATTTGAGTTCTTATTCATTGGTAGAATCCCAGTGAACTTTTTTGACATCTTTTATTGAAATTGTTATGGATAGGAATTATCCAACCAATTGAGGATGATGCGAGCTCAACTTACAGAAGCAAACAATAGACTGAGGTGCAACTTTGAAGCTCATATTTGTTAAAGAATTACCTTCCCTCCCCCTCCCTCCTTTTCTTTTTGGTCTTGTGAATCATAAAATTGGCATGATATAGTTATGCCCCGAAAAGCCTAATCAATTAAATTTTGCAATATAATTTTGTCTACATTGTTTTGTTCTAGGTTAAGATAAACTTAATACAATGTTTATAGATGTGGAGGCTTTGAACAATCGCCATTCTGTCTTTTACTTTTTTGTAGTCGGTAAATTAGTTCAAGTCAGTGATTTCCCCATTGTGGTATAACAGTTGCGGCTTTGTTTTGTTTTATTTTAGTCACATTTCATATAGTCCGTTTCACGGTTTGTACATGTGCATAATTGTTTCTCACATTTTGTATCTGTGTGCCTTTACACTCTTACCAAAAAATTTATATAAATTGATTTATGTGTGTGACGTTTGTGTTTATATTTTTTGTAATCACTGGATATTTCATGGATTGCTTACTACTCCAAATTATTTCATGGATTGCGTTTATATTTCTTAAAATATATGATTTGGCAGAAATTTAAAGATCGACTAAGAAAGAATAAACAACTTTAGAGTTGTTCATAATTGCTTTATGTTTTGTCTACAAAATCTACTTAGATTTAATGTTTAGTGGTGTTTTTTGTTTACATGTATTTCTTTAGTGTTCAAAAACTTGAAAACAAGTCACGATTCTATGGTAGAGACAACAATTTCTAGGGTTATTAAGAATTGATGAGATAGGAGAGTGTAATGAGGGAAGAGTGCAAAAAGAATGCTACTGATCTCTATTAATGAACTCATGATGAGTAGTTTTAGTTACTGAATGCTAAAGAATTGCAAGTACATAAGTTTATCAATTAATGTTTCATTATCTTTCCACCTACACTCTATGGGCAAACAAACAGACCTTGAATTTTAAATTTGTTTCAGTTTTTTTATTGAAGGACTTGGGCATTTTTGCAGTATTGTGCAACCAAAATTCAAATTATTGTCATGGTTTATCAAAAGAGATTACTTGGAATTGTACAACAGTGTGAAACAAAAGCTAAAATATCTATTGACTAGCAAATTTGTTGTAGTGAGGGGTGAGGGGAGGGGAGAAGGGGGAGGGGAAGGATTGTTTGGGTGACTTTTTTTGTCTCTTCATATGATTGTTTGTCCACAAAATAGAACAGAGGCCAGAAATCAAGTACAAGAAATAAACTACTTCCTTACGTTCTATTCATATTAAGAATTTGAGACATTTATGGAAGAAAATGATTCTTTATTTCCCTTTCGCTTTTGAAATTTTTGCCTGAAGTCTATGTGATTGTGAGTTAGACAGTTTGACAATTCGACAACAAAAATAAGAGCAGTCCAAAAACAAAGCTGGAAACTGACAGCAAGCATATTTTGTTATTTGATTAAAAAGAGGTCAATTAATGGTGTTTGATTACAATTCTAGATTCTAGATTATTTGATTTTCTCAACTTTTTTAACCCAAAAAAAATTGAGATTACTTAACTTACAATTGAATTTTTTTTCAACTTAAGAATGTGCTTGATTCTTTTAAACATGAGCAGAATAAATTTGAAATTTCAATTTAGAAGCTAAATAGTATAATGATAGTAAAAAGAAATGAGAAAAAGAGACATTACCTTTTTTTTTTTTCTTTTTCTTTTTCTCGTTATGTTTTCTTCTACTCATTCTTCAATCATTGTTTCACTTAGATCTCTACTGTTTTTTTTTTCTTTTTTTTTGTCTTCATAAATGTAGGTTTGAAGTGATGTGGTAAGAGTTGCGGGCTTAGATAGTTGAGAACTATCGTATTGTGTGGCTCACAGGTAGAATTTTGTTCCTCTTCTCTTTCCTTCAATTATTTTTCTTCTTCATCGTCACTTCTTTTTATCACCTTTACATTTACAGTTTTTTGTGTAAAATAGATCACTTCTTATTTTTAATCTCTATAGCAAAGGTTAGCAGCCAAGTGTGAAATCTAGCTTGTTTTATATGACTTTTATAAGGTCTGTTATGATTTATGGTACATAGTGTTGCGTGGTTAACATAGTAAAAAAATGCATATGCATCTAAATGCATCAAGTTGGTAACAGTAAATGCTGCAATTGATTGCTCATTGACTCAAGTCATGGAAAAAGTGTTACTTTTTCTTTTTGCAAATCCACATCATTCTATAGATCCAATTGGCACATGATGATGAGTGTGTTTGAACTTAACTCCCAGGCACATACTAAATCATTACCTACTAAATATGCCGAGTGTTTAGTCTGCTGTACTTATTCAGGATTGAAAACTAAGTAGCAGATTGAAGGTGAATAGATAGATTCAAACAGAAGTAAATTATATTGAAAACATGACATGAGAGATCAATTAACTAACAATTGATATACCTTTGGAACAATACTCTTTTGCTTTGTCACTATCTAAACCTGCTAAACCGTGCCTCCAGCACCGGTGTTTGGTCTCTGACTCGTAACATTCTCTTTACCATTTCCAAGTCTATTATATTTGTTGACTCCCACTTTGTCATTTGCTTTTGTAGCACCAGTCATAGAATCTTGTGCATTGACTCTATGTAGCCTCGTGGCTTTAGAATGCACAACTTTGTTAACCTGAAAATTTTATTTCAGCTAACTAACCATGATTCTAGACTAAATATGCCAAGTGTTTAGTCTGTTGAACTTATTCAGGATTGAAAACTAAGTAGCAGATTGAAGGTGAATAGATGGATTTCAAACAGAAGTAAATATGCCAAGTTTGGTGTCATTAATCAAAATGTTGTAGCTTCTCACCTTTGATTTTGTAGTTTCTAGGTGGGCTGACTTTGCGACAACAATGATTTTACTTCCACATCCAGATTTATGAACTTATTCAGGATTGAAAACTAAGTAGCAGATTGAAGGTGAATAGATGGATTTCAAACAGAAGTAAATATGCCAAGTTTGGTGTCATTAATCAAAATGTTGTAGCTTCTCACCTTTGATTTTGTAGTTTCTAGGTGGGCTGACTTTGCGGCAGCAATGATTATACTTCCACATCCAGATTTAAAAGTCAAATCCCGAGTCTTAGCAGTAGATTCCTTGGACATATTTGACTTTCTTACTTTGTTGCAATTTGCTTGAGGCGCTCTCATGGCATTTTGATTATTATCAGGTGTTACATCTTTGTTCAGTGATGCACGAAGTGTCGTGTTCTTAACATTATAACCAGGGTGTGAAGAGGAGCCCACACCGGATTTTCCCGAGAAAGATTTACGCCCTTCTAATTTTCTCCCACCAACTACTTCAACTCTCAATGCTTGTCTTGTAACACAACTTTTTCTAAGAGTAACCACCTTTAGAGATGACAAAAGCCCACTTGTGCGACTAACTGTTTGACTAGATACATTCAATAACTTCTGATGTTGTTGCTCACCACTTTCAGATGTAACTGTGCTTGCTGATTTGCTCTAAACATTCTTAATTACTGCAGGACTCGAATTGAAGTTATTTGTAACACATTCGACATAGGACATTAATAACAGTGAATGAAATGAAAATTATAGGCAGATAGATCACTATATCTAGCTAAGCATATAGCGGCAATGACCATGAAAAGCTTCATACACAGAATCACACAAAAAAAGTCAAAATAAATTTTATATATATACATACAATTTATCGTAGATGTATATGTACGTAAAAATGAAGAAAAGTCTTTTAAGTGATGTCATTTAAACCATAGTGATGTCACGGCCACATCCGTACGGTGGATTGGGGGCTGATTTGCATTTTCGCCCCCTTAACGCAATTTTTCGGTTAAGTTTAATGCGTTTTTGGCTCTAACTCCCAAATTGCGTGTGCTAATTACATTCCGTCTATTGTTACATGTTCTATTTGTGACAGGGAAGGTGGCCGTGACATCTGTATGGTGGTTCGGGGGCTGTTTTGCATTTTTGCCCTATTAACGCCATTTTTCAATTAAATTTAAGGCGTTTTCGGCTCTAACTCCCAACCTACACATGCTAATTACATTCTGTCTGTTGTCACAGGTCCTATTCATCACAGGGAATGTGGCCGTGACATCGGTACTGTGGTTCGGGGGCTGTTTCGCATTTTCGCCCCCTTATCGCCCTTTTTTAGTTAAGTTTAATGCGTTTTCGGTTGTAACTCCCAAATTACGTGTGCTAATGACATTCCGTCTATTGTGACAGGTCATATTTGTCACGACGAAGGTGGCCGTGACATTCGTACGGTGGTTCGGGGGCTATTTCCCATTTTTGCCCCCTTATCGTCCTTTTTCGGGTAAGTTTAAGGTACGCTAATTAAGGTGTTTTGCCACAGGTCTTGTGTGTTTTTTTTTTATTTTAAGGACGCTAACTACCCATCTCTTCACCAACCTCATCATTGACCTAAGACTATCACACTCCCATAAATTTACTTAATTCTACATCTAGAATCTGACTTGAGACTGGTTCGCCCCTGGAAAGCCCTTTTTCTACTAAGTTTAGGGCGTATTCGGCTCTAATTCCCAACTTACGGGTCCGAATTACATTCCGTCAGCTGTCACAAGTCCTATTTTTCATGGGGAAGCTATCTGTGAGAGCCACACGATAGTTCGGGGGCTGTTTTGAATTTTCGCCCCCGGAAAGCCCTTTGTCAACTAAGTTTAGGGCGTATTCGACTCTAACTCCCAACCTACAGGTCCGAATTACATTCCCTCAGTTGTTACAAGTCCTATTTGTCATGGGAAAACTGTTCGTGAGAACCACACGGTGGTTCGGGGGTTGTTTTGAATTTTTTCTCCCAATAGCCCTATTTCCACTAAGTTTAGGCCGTATTAGGCTATAACTATGGTAAAGCCATAAACATTCCTAGTGGGCTGATTGAGTGCCAAATGAGAAGTTAATGCATGTGAAATCTGATTCAGAATTTCTGAAAGAAAATTTTCATTCTCCAAGTTAAGGGAGCTCCTAGTTGGTAGTGAAAGCTATAAAGGAATAGCACCACATAAACAAACAGCTAAATGATTTCTTATCAGAAAGTTGGCTAACATAAAGTAAAATTTTAGTTCGAATAAGAATCTTAAAGGAATTATAAAAATAACCAAAACTGACCCAAAAATGCTAAAGAAAGTTGTCAAAGTAAATAGATAAGTTTGAGTAAAAATAAACAAATGCACGCGCACACAGATTCTTTGACCTTATATTTATCTAAGGTTCATATGTTTCTTAAAATTTACAACAATTTTTTGCATATGATGGTTCAACTAGTTAACCCACCAGTCAAAACAATGACTAATGGGACTTGTTCCTTAATGGTTAATGTCAGGCCAAGTTTAAAAATTATTATTATTATTATTAATTTTTTTTAATGTCAGCAATACCCCATATTTTCAGATTTATTATTATTATTAATTTTGTTTAAAAAGGTCTAAAATCAAATGAAATTATAGTAAATAATGATGAAGCTATTCTTCTTTGATTAATGTTGTATGTCAAAAGTGATCCTTAATAGAAACCTGTTGGAAATTCCACTAGAAATTTGTAAATAAAGTACACTGCAACAGAGCCAAACAATGAGGCAATAAGAAAAAATAACCAATTTATAATCCAGACAAAAAGAAAAAATAACCAAGTGATAATCCACCCAAAAGAGCCAAACCATGAGGCAACAGAATTACCTGAAGTTGATTGACGATTTGATCCAGTTTGAATTCCTGATAACAAAATCGTGATACTTTACATCACAAAAGATATAGAAACAAAGAACAATGGATACAGGGAAAAGAAATTCAAAACACATAGTTTCAAAGATATGATAGCCAACCTGCTCCCGAAGAGCCTCTCTCAGATAAGACACAAGATTTGTTCTTGATGATTCAACTACCGTTAGTTGTTCAATACAGTCTCTCAATATACTATGCTGCCCTTTAAGCTACTCCACAATGCCAAAGCCATTGAGTTTTCCTGCTCAAATGAACATAATAATAATAATAAAAAAAATAGTTGAGAGAGAGAGATGCTATAGGATATAGCAACCAATGTATCATAAGTGAGATGCTAAACAAGAGAGAGAGAGAGAGATAAGAACAATACTGAACTGGCCCAAAAACCCTAGCCTCCTGCCACATTGCTACATTTTTCAACATAGCTTCAAGCAACAAATTAATAGTATGTAAACTCAAGAATTCAATCTATACCAAATGACCAAAACCATGTTCCCATTCCCCAAGTATATCGTTTAGGCACCAAACAAGTGAGGACATTTAATAAGGTTCTATAGCTGCAGTTTTTATACCACTATTCTTTATATATTCTTACCTCCATTCCAACCGTAGCTATAGTTGTTAGATTCACACAGATTTATCACTTCCCTCAACTCTCACCCTTGACTTACATCACATTGAAACTCTCTTAGCCTCTCTAGTGACATCCTTGGTGTTGTCACCTTACCTTCACTCTCTAAAATGCTTAAAATACTTTCAATGTATATAGCCATATAATTTACTATAATCGTTTCTTATTTACATCCATCATTAAGATTCAATTTACATATCAGGATTTTAAATTTTGGTTATGGTTACTCGTGAATATATCAACTGATACTATTATTTAAATTCATGCAATTACATACACTACTCTTTTTTCTGTACACCACAATGTATATAATTGGGGGCTCAAACATCTATATTTTACTGGATTTTGATTCTTGAATCAAGATCACTGGTGAGGAAACCAGAGAGATGAACGCTTTGAGGGCCCGCAACTGAGAATGTTACTTCATCATTACTATTTAACTCCAAATTCAACTTGCATGAGCACTTGTTCCCTACCATTAGTGAACACAAGAACACTGCACACTTATCTTTTGGAGCACCTTTAAGTATGCTTCTCCTTGTAGATGAACCAAGGCCTAGTGTTGCCTATTTGATCACATCAATCAAAACCAAATTTCAATAGATTGGTTTATTATTGTGAAAATTTGTGTTAAATTGTTTAGTGTAACTTTTACCTATAGTTTATCAAATATTAAATAATTTAAATAAGTTAAAAAAATTGATTATCTGAAAATTAGTGAAGGGATACTTTGAATTATATTTTTTTATTATAAACTGTTAACTTATAATAAACTACACCAAATAGACCCAATTAAACAGAGAAACCTTCTCGTTAGGTAAAGTTTTAGTTTTCTGTTTATGTTTTCATTTTGTTTGTAAATTATAAACAAAAAACTTAATTAGTATACTGTTTTTGCTTTTAAAAAAAATGAAACTGGTGCTCAAATTTTCAAAAAATTTTGAAAGAAAAAAAAGTGTTCTACTTGTTTTCAAAATTAGTTTTCACTCTTTTCTCCCTCCATCCTTCCCTTACCACCACCTCTTTGAGTCAAAACGTACACAAAAGAGGCCAATTGAGCTAACTCAATTCTTGATAAAAAAATAAAAATAAAAAAAACTAACTCAATTGATTATCTATTTTATTAACTATAACATCTAAGTTTTAAAATATTGGTTTTTTTTTTAGATAGTAAAACATTGATTTTTTTTTTATAGGCCTTGTTTTTATATCAAAATTGGGTGTCTTTTACAAAACAAGAGATAAAATTGTAACATATATATATACATAAATTTTTTAAAAATTAAATAAAACCTTGAGAAATTTGGGATCTAAAACCAGAGTTTTGTTGACTATATATGGTTGAATCCAGGAAAGAGGCGTTAGTTTGAGAAAGGAAACTAAACCTGAGATATGTGAAGCTTTACTCCCGGATCAAGTTGGCAAGTGTATGGTGAGCCAGGTTTGACTTCAATCCTTGTAAAATAAAACAAAATAAAATAAGAAAATGATATTAAAGATCATTTTCTAAACCTACTTTCTAGATGTGTAAGTAAGATAATTAGTTAATAATTAAAGAAGACATGAGAGACAGAGAGATTTGTCTTAAATATTCTAATAGACTGCCACATTATTAAGTTTGAAAAGTAAGTCTAATTTTTTTGGCCTGAGTAACATTACCCAATAAAATAATATTGACTTGTAAATGAAAAAAATATATATAAAAAAGGTTTCAAGAGCTGTGTAGAATTTAGTTGAAGTGCATAAATGTATGGTGCAGGCGTTAGGTTTGTTGGATCAATAAGACTACAATTATTAATGTTATGTTTGGATTATGATTTTTGATAAAAGTTTGGAATGAAAAGGCAAGCAAAATGCAGTAAAACATCAACTTATGTTTCAGTTGCAGTCAGGACAACCATCTACCCTGCATCTTTATCTAAGTATCAGCCAATTCTAAGGTATATTTCCCAAATATGTACCAATATAAGCAGGGTCCACTTCAGAAATAATCAGGTACAGTAATTCAAGTAAAAGCAGTGCCTCAAAACAATCATCTCAAGTACATGGCAACACCTCTATATATTGCATCACTAATCTATACACCATACTGCACAAATCCAAAAACTTAGCTTGTGAAAACATTAAATATCTTATCCAGTGATTCTCCCCAATAAAATAAACAAATAATACTAATAGGAACAGAAACAAGACTATGTAATAACTACAAATTTTAAACAGATGAAATTAAAAACTCACAATCAAAGTGTGGAAGTCATCCAACCTTTTTTGGATTAGCTATGGACAAATTTTGTTGCAACATTGAATACTGGATATCCACAACTGCCTTTGATGGTTTTCCTTGAACTGAAACAAACCAGAAAAGTTAAAATTAGTATATGGAGACAAGTATCTTCAATAGAAAACAAGAATGAATTAAGCAAAAACAACTGTTGAAGTCCAGAAAATACATCAGTGTACAGCTAAACAACTTACTAAAATATTATAGGCAAAATTATCAAGCAAATGAGGGAAGCCATGGTCACCAACAGTGAGCATCCCATTTCATGAATCCAATGACCTATAAAATGCAACAAAAAAAATGAAATGAATTAAATTTCATAAATACATAACTAGGCATCCAAAGACCTTTAATGTTTCAATCCAAACCCTAGAAGTAGATTCAGATCATAAAATAAGAAGAAACAAAGAGAGAGGAGATCCGAGAGAGAAAGGAAGAGAACGAAAAGATTACCAGATAAAGAAATTGAGGGAGTTTGTACCGTTGGAGGTCTCTTATTCAAACGACCATGGCAATTTATAGAGCGAGAAACAGAGCGAAATCGAGAGAGGAATATCGAGAGCAAAATCGAGACAGATTTAGGAAGTAAGAGTAAAAGGAGATAGGGCAAGTTTTATACCATTTGAGGATACAGCAAGCTCGAGAGCGAGAGCGAGAACGAGAGAGAGCACGAGACTGAGAGAAAGAGCGAGATATAACCTGGTATTGCGGCAGTAGCGGTGGTGATTTGCAACGGTGGCGATTTGTGACAGTGGCGGTGGCGATGTGCGACGTCGAATGCTTCCCGGTGGTAAGCGCTTGTGGTGAGGTGAGGTTTTAGTGGTGACTAATTATGTGTGTGTAAGAGGGGGAGAGAGAGAAAGAGAGAGAGTTTTGTATTCCTAAACAGAGGAGAATACTGGGAGGGCGCCAATAGGTTTTTATTTTCCCACTAAAATTTTGGCACCTTTGGCGACTAATTTCAAATTTTGTCAGCAAAAATGTAAGTAATAACGACTAAATTATTTAGTAGCCAAATCAACTCAAACTGCAACTAAAATGTTAGTCGCCAAAACTCAATATACAGCGACTAAAATTCTTTTTGTCGCTGAAAATAAACTTTTACCGACCAAAATTTTAGTCGCCAAAGGTAAAAAAATAATTTTTTATTTTCTATTCGGCGAATAAATATTTTAGCCAAAACTCAACATACGGTGACTAAAATTCTTTTTGTCGCTGAAAATAAACTTTTGGTGACCAAAATTTTAGTCGCCAAAGGTAAAAAATAATTTTTTATTTTTTATTCAGCGACTAAATTGTTTTAGTAGCCAAACTCAATATACGGCGACTAAAATTCTTTTTTGTCGCCAATTCTGACAATTTTTAGCGACTAAATTTTTTTTTAGTTGCCAATAACCAATATACCCCTGCTAAAAAAAATTAGTAGCTAAATATTGTACTTTTACCAACTAAAAAAATTTTTAGTTCGCCAATTCCATAACTTTTGGCGACTAAATTTTTTTTAGTTGCTAATTTCGCCAAAGATGCATTTTGTTGTAGTGGAAGTTGGCCCCTACCTGAGTGAACTAGGGCAATTCTATGTCAGGTTTGGAGGAGTAATGAGCATAATCTGCAACCTAGAAACCTCTTCCTCCTCCCAAGCAAGAAGTTGTCTTCTGGAATTGAAGTTGTAGTCCCCAGAAGTGCCCCTATTTTGCACAAACATCCTTAATGATCCCCTTTATCTATAGACAACCTGAAAAGTCTAGGAAATTCATCCACTCAAAAGAAAGATTTTGGAGGTAGAATAGAAAGCTGCACAGTTTTTCTCAGAGAATGAACTGTTGGTTGAGAGAAATACATAGCTTGAAAACAAGGTTAATGAACTTCAACAATTACTGAACTCAGCTCATACTGAAAAGGAAGCCACTTCTATGCAACTGATGTATCACATGAATACTATTACTGAATTAACTGATCAACACTCGAAAGCATCTGAACTTAATTTAGAAGCTGAAGTACGGGTTTTAGAGAATGAAAGAAAGTTACATGAAACCATTTAGAAATTTAGTCAAAGAGATCTAGAAGTGAAGGACTTAGCCGCAAAGCTAAATGAACTTCAAGGAAAGATAAAAATGTATGAAGAACAAGCTCATGAAACAATTGGTGTCACAGAAAATCAAAAAGTTGAGCTTGAATAGACCCTCTTTAAATTGAAGGGTCTGAAAGGCATCATTGAAGAGCTGCAAAACATGCCGCGCCAATTTGAAAAAGAGAGGGTACAGCTAGCAGAGGTGAATTCAAAGCTTACTTAGGATCTGGCTACGCATGAGTCCAAACTAAATGATCTAAACCATTTGTCCAACCAAAATTGAACCCTGCAGCCATCCCTATTTTGAATTCTTATATTGGATACAAAGAAATCATTCAGTGCAGAATTGGAGTTTGGCAAAGACAAAACATCTCCCCAAACAAGTGACATGTTTCCTGAAGCCACCAATGATGGTAGCCATCCACCTCCCTCAGTACCATATTTGCGTCTAATAATCTGTTTCCACAGTGTTCTGTCCTCCACCCCAAAACTCCACCACCATTTCATTGATGATAAACCATAATTGCTCTAAACTTTGGAGAAATGTTGCTCCTCCAAAAGTGAAGTGTTTTTGTTGGGTGGCATTAAAAGAGAGAATTGCACGAAGAGATCTATTAGCTCAAAGGAGGATCCTTCCAATGGGGGCTGATTTGTGTTGTTTATTTTTTTTTGGCGAATGTAAGGTTGAGACAGATTCTCACATTTTGCTGCATTGCCATTGATCATGGTTGGTGTGGTTGGCCATTCTCAATTGGTGTGGTCTAGGTTGACACCAAAAAGGGAGCCAAATCATTTGCTAGCATAGCACAAGGTGAGAAACCAACAAACATGGACGACCAACAAACCTCACATCAAACAACTAAATATACGCACCAACAAACCTAAAAAACACTACAACATTCAATTCAATGGACTGACATCAAACAACTAAATCTACACACCATTTGCAAATGAGATCATTGTATCCAAAATGACCCCGCATAAAAGCTTGAACAGCAGTAGCATCAAGCAAAGCAATAGCAGAGAAACATAAAAAACCTCAAGCAATCGTATACACAATGCGTTTGAAGCAACCTGGCCAAGAGTGCTGATCCCACAAGCATATCCAGATTCCAAACAGAAACAGTGATGGTGTATTCAGAAAATCATACAGCACCCCTTCCTCCTAAACACAATCTTACCTGATTTAAATTTGAAATGAAGTTGATTATGGAATAGTACATCTCTTGTGAATTACTTTTTACCCAAAAAACAATCATTGTTTTGACAAGTTGACATAACTCCTCCATATCAAAATGAGATGTATTAAACATACAGTCATTCCTTGGCTTCCATATGGACCAAAGTACTGTGAGTAGAATGGCTCTCTAAATTTTCTTATTAAATTTCTTCCATCTATACCCTGCCCACCATTGTAGAACTCCCTCCATTGAGTTTGGCATTGCCGATTGAACTCCCCACCACTTTAACATTGCAGACCATAAACATCGTACAGGTTTACAACTCAAGAATAAGTGACTCACATCATCAGCCTAACCATTACATAAGACACAAGTAGTTTTAGCATTAATATTTAGAACCCCAATTTTTTGAAGAAATACCTTAGTTTTTACTCTCCCTTTCCAAGCAAACTAGCTTAGAAATTGAACTTTTGGATGACTAATGTTGTTCCAGAGCAGCTTAGGAGGTAACATGATTGGGCGTTGAGAATATTCACACCATTTACAAATTGAGTCAACATTGAATTCCCCTGAGGGTTCTGCTTTCCATCTTAATTTATCTTCAACACCTTCTCTAAGACGTGTTGCATCATTCAAAATAGTAATAAGCCTTGTTAATTCCTATTGTTTTGGGTTCAGGCTAGTAAACTTGTCTTGAACCCTAGACCCCAACCACTTTAATCACCCCTTATGTCCATAATCATTGTAAGAGACTCCATTTTATCTTAAGACCGCAAGAACAATCTAGGGAACACATCTGTAAGCCTTTGATTTCCAATCCAAATATCCAACTAAAAGAGGCATCTCTTGTCATTTCCAGGTACTATTGCTGTATTTGTCACAAAAAAAATTATGAAGATTTGGGTTGATCTCAGCAATTGGCACAACATTGAGCCAAATTATGAAGAATTTAGACTTCCCACCCAAAAATCATAAAAGCTTTGATTAATCATGTCCTTTGGTCCATTGAAACGCAACCGTCATCATCGTCTTAGACCACTATAATAGCATTGAAATAATGACGTCACCTATGAATCAGTTTGACACATTTATGACTTTAGCACATACCAGTATTAGCCCTTGCCTATTATCTCATAGACGGTCACTACCTTTTTACCGTCACTCATTTTTAAAAATAATAAATTGTATTTTCATTCGTAGATATATATTGTTTCTCACTATACCCACCCTAATCACTACATTATTTGTCTTTTCTTACTTTGGTCCAATTTCTAACTTCTGAGGGAAACTTTGGAATTTTTAAAATTAACTTTCCTACCTTGATCACTTGGAGACCTTTGTTTTCGAACTTTAAAATAGATGGGTCGTGGTAGGCGGTAAATGGAAGTGTTCTGTAATGGAGGGTTGCATGTGGAGGTGGTCTGTAGCGGAGGATTTGGTACAAATTTAGGTGAACTTGACCCATGGGGCAATTTCCGTCACAGAAGTATAACATTTGTTACAATTTGGACCAAAGTGAAAAGAATCTAATCAGTGTGTTTGGTTTCAATTTTTTGAATTCAATATTTTGAAAATTGAGTTTTTTGTTTTTAGTGAATATTTTAAAAATTTTAAGCAATTTTTATACTTTTTTAGATGCACCTTACTTAGATGTATCTAAATAGTAAAACATTTGTGAAAAAATATTTTAAAAATTAATAAATATGCAAAAATATGAGAAATGTACCAACTTTTCAAAAAAAAAAATTGGAATTTAGTGTGTTTTGTAAAGCTTTTTTTTCACAAATATTATACTTTTGAAGTGTATTTATGTTAGGTGTGCCTAAAAATTTTTACAAAAAAAATGCTTAATGTCATTGAAAACATTAAAATACAAAAAATTAAAAAGTAGAATTTTCTGAAAACTGTTTTTCGAAAACCAGAACCAAACAAGCTGAATAGTGTCGAGAACAAAGTGAGAAACTGTGAATGTGTAATTAAGCATTTTAAAAAATACAAATCATGCCCTAATCTGTGAAGAAATTATTTATGTAAGTAATATCATAATAAATTATAATTATTATTTGAAAATAGGCTAACATAATTTAATATGAAGATTTAATTATTTTATTACAGGTAAAAGAGGAAATATCATTTTCCCATCAAAGAATCACTCAAAAATTAATTTAACCTATGTTATTTTAATAATATTAATTTTTACACGTAAATTATTTGATTTTGGATTAATTTTGGATTCGTTATCAGATCGATCTAATTTTTTTTTGTGAATAAAATACACAAAGCGCATGACAAAATAAAGGATTTTGTATTGAAATGGGATCCATGATGGCCCCCAAAAGGCCCAAACAACACGGTCTGGTCCATATTGTGGATTGGAGGCAATCCATCTCCACTACAATAATCATATACTTTGTTTCCAAAAAAAAAATAAAATTAAAACTTCCTAAAAACTCAACCAATGCTTATTTGGGAACCCAAAAACTCCCACCCAAATAGAACCCTTGGAGTTTTGAAATAACACCCTGTCCCTCACGTTTGCTGCTGCTGCCACCACCATTACTAGCCAACACCTTCATGCTGTAGAGACGTATGGTATGTTTTCTTTGATTGTTGAAATTGTGTAAGTTTATTTTAGT